ATATATATATATATATATATATATATATATATATATATATATAAAACTAGTATATATATATATGCGGTAGTGGTGTAGTGGTAGAGCGCTCGCTTCATAAACGAGTGGTTCCGAGTTCGATCCCCACCACGTCCCTGGTAGTACCGCGCTCAACTCGTTTCTCCGCGCAGCAGCCTTGCTCGTCAAGGTTTGTGTTTCGGAGTTATAGAGTCGAGAGAGGGTTATAACCACAAATAAGTAGCCTCCTCGTCTGTAGTGGCCTTCTCGGTCTTGAGGAGGTGAATTAAAATAAAAACATATATATATATATATATATATATATATATATATATATATATATATATATATATATATATATATATATATATATATATATATATACCTTATATATATATATATATATATGTATATATATACACAAATAGTATTGTGTACTAAGGTAAGCAATCTGACGTCATACTGAAATAGCCTGCTGCTGGGGGCTTCACTACATACTTCGACTGACAAAATTTATATAACAACATCTAACAAGCTTTTGGTTTTAACACAAGCTTTTTGGTTTCAACATAAGCTATCTGTTTATTCATTAAAAAAAATTGGTTTTATACTTGTTACAAGCATATGTTTGTAATGTTTATGTTACAAGAATATATACCTTACAAGAGTCATTTCATTATTGTGCCATGAAAGCATTCTTTAAACGGGAGTTGTCAGGCATTTTAAGAATTACTACAACTATTAAAATTTCTGCAATAAAAGTAAATGATATATTAATGTAATTAACATATTATTCATAACATTTAGTAAATGTAATTATGCAATAATTTAGAGTGTAATAATTTTATATTTATCAAACATTCCAATCTAATCAAAAACATTTGCATTCAAATCTGCGCTTTTTTTTTATTTTTATTTTTATTTTTTTATTTTTTGTACAGCAACCATGTCTTTTATTTTTATAAAATTAATTTTGTTAACCGTGTTTGTTAATAAATTTTATTAACCGTGTCTTTTAATGTTACTAAATTATTTTTTCATTATTAAATTTTATTATTATTTTTATAAAAATAATAATAAACTTATTTTAGTGAGACATCTTTTTCTTTATTTCACTCATGTCTTCTGTCACTACACTGACTACATTTTTTTTGATTTCAACAGATTATATTTAAGTTTCAACAACTTATAAACTTCAGCTATGCTGATTTTGAAATCTGTTATATTTTATTAAATATAATGCTAGATGTAAAAATTTGCCATTTTAAAAAGTTGAAACTTTGCTACTTCATCAATGTTTTTTAGTACTTTTAAAATTTATCATATTGGAAATTGATATGATTTTGATTTAAGATTTTTAATTAAAGAGCAAAATAAGATTGCAGTGCAAAATGTTTTACAAAATGTTTTGAATAATTTTAAACTGGTTATAAAATTACTAATATAAATTAAAAATGTATAGCATATAAAAAGTACAATTAGATTTATAGAATATGGTTTGTTAATAAATAATCATGTATAAATATTAACATTAATAAATTAATAGTTTATTGTAAATTAGTTTTGATAACTTATTTTCAAATTAATATGTTATAATGAAAATAGAGAATTGTAACTTCCTTAGAAAATAGTAAATATCTGGGAGTCTATTAGTTTAAAAAATTATTTTATTGGAGAGGATAATGTATTATTAAAATTTGTTCAATATCCCTGATAATAGGCGTCAATGATTAATGGAAAACTTTTTGTTTTAAAAAAGAATTTCACAAAAAGTTAAAATTAGAATCTATTCAAATTTAAGAAGAAAGAGACTCTATGACTATTAAAACTTAGTATTTATTTTTTGCGTGAATTTATAGTTTTTTAGAATATTTGATGTTATAATATTTAATATTAAGAGTTATGAATTGTAGCTCATGGTATGTCAAGAGACAAAAAGAGTAAAAATTAGGATTTAGCATTCACAAAGGTCAGAAAAAATGCTATAAGCTAGTTTAGAAATGCAAATATAGCTAAGAGAAGTAAAGATTGGACATAAACTAGAGAGATACGATTGATGTACAGATTATATGTCAATGGAGGCCAATTGAGATGTTTAACATTTTAATTTTAATGGCCATGATTATTTAGGTTAAGAAAACTTGCAACTTATAACTAAAAATGCTAATTGAAACAATTTGGATTAGATAAGTTTTTTAAATAAGATTGATATCTGCGTCTGTAAAATAAATCTTAAGTAATATTTGCATTATGCTTTGAACTTTAATTATTACTTTAGTATGGCATCATCAATATCTCATTTATCCAGATTTTTATTTGTTGTATAAAATACATATAAATATTAAGCTATATGCTGTGGTCAGGATATATTTTTACCAGTAGTCAATTTGGTTATTATTTTAATAAAAATTTTAGTAGTAATTTTAAAGTTTTTACTTGTGTTTTTATTTGTATCAATTATTTTATAGGTATTTTGCACATCAACACTGCTTTATTCTGGTTTAGTTTTTTTACTCCCAACAACCAGGCTAATTAAAAATAGGTAATATATTAATATTTATATAAACTTGAGTGTTTTTGTATTTATTTAAGCTAAAATATTCATTCTCTTAAAATTAGAGAACACATATTAAAATTTATAAAAGCACTACACTATCCTAACTACCATATCAATTTTAATACAAAAAGGTGTTCCTTTAAGTAAAACATATTGTAAGCAACTATTGCATGTAAGCTAAATATATATCAAAATACTAATATGCCAATAAAACTGCAGAAAGTAAAAATATGCAGTATTTAAACTCCAAAACTAAATGTTCATTTAGTTTTGGAGTTAAAATATTGCATGCAAGTGTGCACTATCAAAACCATATCAGATTAGTAGTGAATGGCATATCCCTAAGCATAAATAAATTAGTTGATTTTTTATTTAAGACCAGGCAGTTTGAAGTTCCTTATACAATTTTTCAGCATTTTTGAGCCTATCATGCTTTAACGTTGATTTGTTTCCATATATTCTCAGTCAGAGATTGAGTATTGCATTACAGTGATTTTGTTTATATTAAACCATGTTTCAAGTTTTAGCGTGTGTTTTGGATTTTTATCATGGTTTTGTTGTAACATCTACCTCAGAGGCATATTTTTATTTACAAAAGATATCATTTTATTTTCCAAATTTGAATTATGTATTTGTATATTATATCTTCAATGTGATAGTGTAATCACAATACAGAAAATTCTGAAAAGCACCTCTAAACCATCAAAGTTTTGCCAATCCCATCGTTTAACAATTTATATAATTTACATTGGTTTTAAATGCTTATCAACTTGTTTTCTCAAATTTTATCAACTAGCATTCTTAAATTTTATTACCATCTGAACCTCTCAGGTTAAAATAACTATGCAACTCTGTAATTATGCGACTCTTCATCATCCAAATGGCACCATACTGTATTTTTTTTTTGGTTCTTTTGATTTTATGTTTGTTAACTAATTTATAAAATCAAGTTTTTAAAATTTTTTACTTTTTTTATTCTCTTTTAAAATTTTACACTTTTTACATAAATCACTTTGTGTAGTAAGATAATTATCAATAATTTTTAGTAGTACATAATTATCAATAACTTTTTATTTGAATTTCTTTTACTTTTATATTTATAATGTGTTTTTCTGTTATCAAAATTTACAAATTATAATTTTAATTTATGCTTCGACTAAACTAGATTACAGTTTATTTGCATCTAAAACCTCCAAGGGACCAAAGAAAACGGTTTGACTTAACAAATATTTGACTAAAGTGAACTCCTGTTAAGTTGAACTTTGGCTGTATGAGGTATTAGTTCGAGTATTTAAGCAATTTTTCTTAACTCAATGCTTAAGTATAAACATTAAATATACACCATTATACTAACAAAAACATGAAAAATGTTTCAGTGAACTAATTTACATATTGTATTCACTATGTGTACTCAAAAGATAGCATTAAAAAAGGAATAGCAACACAATGACTTTTTTATTATTTGGTTATAAAATGTCTTAGAGCAACCTTTTTGAGAATCTTCAGATTTAAATTAAAAACATTAGGCTACTGTTATTTAAGTTTTATATGAAATGATTTCTAAAAAAAATTATTTTGATTTCTTAATTACACATATGAAAGTTAACCAAAGAAGTTTGCAGAAAAGGGACAAAAAATTGCTTGACTTAACAAAGTTCAAGTTATCCAAGGTTCCTTAAAATTGCCGAATTAATTACTATTCAAAATTAATCATTTTGAATAGTAATTAATTCGGCGATTTTAAGGAACCAAATCAAACAGTTTATGATGACAAACATTTGAGTTTATTGGGAATTAACTGTAATAGTGTTTTATGTAACAAAAAGTGTTACATAAAACTCTACTATCCTTAATTCACCAGTAGTAGTGTTTTATGTAACACAGGTATTGTAATTACAAAGTATGTCTTCTTTAACTGCATTTTCAGTATTAAGAAAAAAGCTCTTTTTGTTAAAAGTTCTTATGTTTTGTAATGTTAAAATTTTTATACTTATAAATAATAATTAATTTTTAAATTTATATTTTAATACTAATATTTTGTATTCATATAAAAAAAAAACTTTAAAACAGAGTGAGTAAAACAAAAAAGTGAGCATTTAGCAATACAAGAATATATTCCACATTTAAAAGCAAATAGCATACAAAATAAAATTAAAAAATGATTTTATAAATGTTTTACAAACTTTTATTTCTTAGAAAAGAATTTACATTTCTTTTGGTTTTGGAGTATAGTGTATATATAAACAATTAAATATATTATTATATATAAAAAATTGTATGCTGGTGGAATGGACTTGTTTTGTGGCACATCTTATTAGAAAAGTTCAGATAAAAAAAAGTAAAAATTACAACTAAAAAAGATTTACATTTTTGAGTTATGTAGTTTTGAAAATATTCTGTTAATAGATTAAAAGAGGGTTTAGTTTGTAACCCTAAAAACTATGGTCAGGTCCATGGTTTTTAGGGTTGAAGATAAGTAACTGCTAGAAACGGTATGTGTTCAAAGTTTTTTTACATTTATTCTAATATCAAATAAAAACGTTTTTCAAAAAGTTGTGGCAATTAGAATCTAAAATAATATTAAATTTCCCTTTGTTCCAAATTGTCCAAAAATTTTAAAATTTTATAACAAAATTCAAAATCTTTACTATTAGTTTATCCCAAAGAATTTCTAATGGATATAACTTATTGATTTTTCCTAAAATTTGTCCTGAAAATGTCCCGAATGAATGGAAAATGTCCCGAATGTATTGGAAAATTTTAAATGTCAAATTAATTGACTTAAAGTTTAACTGTTTAAATTTTTCCTTTCAGTTTTTTTTTTTTTCTTAATATCAAAAAACATTGAAATTTTTTTAATGAGTTCCCTGCTTACATTTCCAATAGAAAAGAATTGGTTGATCAGTAAAGCTAACTTTTTGTTGTTAAAGTTTTTTTGCTGGTTCAATATATTGTCACAGTGACTAAATTCTGAAAAGTTTAAGTTCTAAGAAATCTGGAAGACCATTAAGGTCTTCCAGAATGTGACATGTTGATAATGCCATTATCAGGTTCCATGTTCTCACTTTTTTTTTGTATGCAAAGTTGTAAACATGTAGGCGTTCTGTTTTATTTTCAGTTTGCTTTTTTCGCATTGTTTTTTTGATTTAAAAAGTCTAATTATTTGTTATTTGTCACTAAAACTGGTATTAATCAAAAAATAACCATAATATACTGGAGTTGATCAAAAAATAACCATAATACACTGGTATTAATTAAAAAATAACCATAATACACTGTTATTGATTTAAAAATAACCATAATACACTGGTATTGTTCAAAAAATAACCATAATACAGTGGTATTGATCAAAATATAACTGTAATACACTGGTATTGAAAAAAAAATAACCAAAATACATTTGTATTTACACAATTAAATTTATTATAGCTAAATAATTGGGTCCGTTTTTGTAAACCATAGATTTACACCCCTAATCATGATTTTTTTAATCATGATTCCGGGTGCCTTCACCAAATTTTATTTAAACTACATAACATTAAAGTTTGTTTTAAGTACATTATTACATTAAGAGCATTATTCAAGGTATAAAATGCAAGTAAAATTGGAATCTTAACCCTATTCCTGAAGTTTTCTCAAACGAATTTTTAAAATGGCCTTCCATTCTACTATCACGCATTGCTTTGAGAAAACCTAAAACTTGTTTATTTATCATAGAGATAAACTTTTTCTGTTCAGTTATTTTATCATTTTCAGAAAAAAACTGAATGGAAAATGTTAAATAGTAAACATTCACCAGAAGGTTTTTAATTTAAAAGCATCTTAATTGTGTAATTAGTTACAATTAAATATTTGATCCATTTACGCATTTTCCATTGGTTCTTTAATCAGTAAAGGTTTGAGTTAGGTTAAAAATCTTGCATTGCACATAAGTGTCATAGCTTTTTTTAATAGAAATATACTTTTTAATGAAATAAATAGTTGAATGTACTATAAAGCAAAGGGTCAAACACAATATTTTACAAATATGGTTAGACATTCTTTATTATTAAGATATACATCTAATTAAGCTAATAAAATTTTACTTGAATTGTTTCTATTACCTTCAATTTCTTTATTAAATAAAATAAAGCAAGGGGAAGTTGATGCAATAAAAGCTGCTAAAATACTTTGTGAAGATAGTGCATACAGATGTAACACTAATTGCAGATAAATTTTATCTTTAGAAAGAGGTGCAATATTGTAGTAGTGTGTGTGGATGCAGAGGGCACTCTATACAAATAAGTTGCATTTGTTATAGTTAGTTAAAGTTCCTCATATTATAAAATCATTACCTAAAGTGACCATAAGTGGTAAATCAATTCAAAATATCAGATTCTAAAAAGGCTTTTATTACTTTTTATTACTTTAATGTTACTTTCATCACTGAAAATTACTTATTTCCACTTTTCCAGAGACTACCTGATTTATTTCTTATACAACCTTTATCTTTGAGCCAACTATTTAAAGAAAGTTTGCTCATAGTTTAGTTAAAAGTTCATGAAACATATGAAACTGTTTTTGAGCTCTGTATTTTATTTTTAACCTTCTAGATTCATAATACAGTGTTTAGAAATGCTTGAAATAGCAAATTTGTTATGCTTTCTTTTTATAACAGTTATAATTGAATTGAAGTTAAGTACATGAATTTTTTTTTTAAAAGTAAATAATTGTAGTAATTAGTTGGCATTCTTTATATAGTCGTTTTATTTCTATAATTTTTAGTAAGTGATTAAAAAAAAAAATTTTAATGCTTGTTTTGAGTTGATGAATGTCTAATACTTTATAACTTCTTATGGTAAAATTGTAAGCTTTTAAAAAAAACTGCGACAAACTTGTATATTTTTTTCTTTATTATGTTTTTTTTTTATTCCATACCATCTGAAAGCTAATTAGGACCGTTACTCTGTTAATTAAATTTTAAGAAAGTAAAAGTTTTTCACATTTATTAAGAAAAACTTTTAATTTAAACTATCTTAATTGAAAACTAGTTAATTAAGTTTTAAGAAAAGAAAGATTTTATTGTTTTAACGCTCAGACTTAACTAATTACTTAAGCGCATTAATAAGATAAGTATCTCTATTGTGACATATGTGCAACAAATTTATTTCGATACCATGTTCATTAGAAGCCCAGTGAGCTAACCACTTTGGCCACAAAAGCATACTATACTAATAATTTTCAAGTAAAATTAAAACTGTAAAACTACAATTTTTAACATTACAATACTTATAGTGTTCATAAATTAAATATTTGCATTACTGAATTCTTTACATCTTTTAAATTATCTTTTACTACTGAAGATTAATGAAAACTATATATACAATCCTTCTCAAAGATGTTAAAGTTGCCTCTCTTTATTGTGCTCAGCATTTCTGATTTCATTCTCTACCTCTATAGTTCTATTAATTTTCCTTGTATGAAATCCTGTTGTCATGTTTGCCTTGTTTTTCTAATGATGCCCTTCCTTTTATATACAAGGTCTAAAAACAAATTGTAAATCTTGTTGGTTAATGTTAAATCCTGTTAAGTTTACATATATATATATATATATATATATATATATATATATATATATATATATATATATATATATATATATATATATATATATATATATATATATATATATATATATATATATATATATATATATATATATTTATATATATACATATATATATATATATATATATATATATATATATATATATATATATATATATATATATATATATATATATATATATATATATATATATATAGATAGATAGATAGATAGATAGATAGATTGATAGATAGATAGATTGATAGATAGATAGATAGATAAATAGATAGATAGATAGATAGATAGATTGATAGATAGATAGATAGATAGATAGATAGATAGATAGATAGATAGATAGATTGATAGATAGATAGATAGATAGATAGATAGATAGATAGATAGATAGATAGATAGATAGATAGATAGATAGATAGTATAGAAATAGATATTAAATGTTAATAAAAAAATTCTTGATTATAATTATTTTGTATTTAACATTCAATTATTTTAGGAAAGGATTGTGGGTAGGATTGTGGATTACCCAATGCCTTATTAGATCAATGTACACTGCAGGTCTTTTATGTATCCATGTTTTTATAAACAATTCTGTTGAACCAGAGTTTCTAGGATTGGCGAATGGTGTTGGATTATCTTTTGCTTCATTAGGAAGGTAGTATATCAAATCTTGTAACAGAATTTTTCTGGTTTCAATTTAAATCCTATTTATTAAAACTGATCAGAATTTTTATCTAATATATTTCTCCAAATTTTTTTCAACAAGGTTTTTAAATCCGAGGGGTTACTGCATTCAAGAAGGCTGCTAATTTTTTTAAAACTGTTGTTACAATCTTCTCTTAACTTTAAAACAAAAAATGAAATATGAACTCTGAGGAACAAGGGTACTACTTCTAAAAACAATTTATACTATTTATTAGATTGATCTAATTACAAATTTTATTAAATATTTATTTTGAGAATTGAATTTTGTTGACCATAGTTGACTTTTTAGTGAATACTAAAATAGAATATTTTTATTTTATGTTTAACACTAATTTGCTTTTGTTTAAAAAGGTTTTTCCTTTTTTTTTTGCACAAATTAATGTTTTACATGCCAAATAGTTAATCGTGTTGTCATGTAAAACATTAATCATGGAAAATAATCTCTGCAGTTTATTCTAACAATTTCCAGCAATAAAGTTTTTATTTTAACATAAAATTTGAACATATTTTCATGACATGAGAATATTTTAAATTTGAAAAAATTTTTAAGCACTCATCTGAGAAATATATATTTTATTTATATTCTATACTCTAATTAAAATAAAACTACTATTATATACTAATAATACTATTTTAATTATTATTCATTAAATAATATTTATAAAATATTTATAAGAAAATATATTTTTAGTTTATTCAACTTACCTGTTTGATCTAAAAACATTAACTCTTCTTAAAAATAACAATAAAATAGTAAACATGTATTCCTTTTCTACTGGGACTTGGTGCGGACTTTTTGAAGGTATTACAATAATACAAATAATGGTGTAAGTAAATTATTTAATTCAAATATATATGTTTAATTTTTTTTTAGTGCGACGATCCTTTCTCAGATTACAATGATTTTGATGACTTTAGAAATGACTGTAATCAAGAGCTTTATGAAAAATCCCCTACTTCATACCATTAGAAACCCTTACGTAGCTTTGCAAAAGCAGCAGTATGTTACAAAATTATTGACAATGCGGCTGCTTATCTAGCTACAGAATTGCAAATGGATGGTGAATTAAAAAGAATAATAATTGATATCTTGAATTGAAAAATAAGATCATCTTACTGCAGAAATTGGAACAAATGCAAAAAAATATTTAAAACGCATAGAATTTTTACCAGTGGAACTGGAGTTTTTAAAGCAAATGCTGAAGCAGTTCAAGAAGAGTTTGCCAGCATGGAAAATCTTGAAACTGTGGTTCTTAACAATTAAAATACTGGTGCAGACAATTCAAATACAATTGACAGTTTACAACTGTTAACTTAAAAAAAGCTATAAATTGGAAATTGCATTTAGTTTGATGTCAACTCCACCAAAATAAATAACTATTTAGACAAGTAATTATTTTACTTGACGGAAAAAGAAATTATCTATAAAAATACTGTTTTAGAAGATTCTATTATCAACTTTCAATAATAAATTTTTCAATCTTCAATCATTTGTCGATAAAAGTGTTGTTTCTGGTTTAAGCAATGATAAATAAAAATTATATAAATATAATGTAGGTATAAGTACAGGTTAAGTCTCCAAAAAATTTGCAATGGCCAAACCTGGACACATGAACCATGCAAAATGGTCGAAATTTTCGTTATGTATTATATATAAATATACTAAAGAGACAATTTCTACAGAGTTGAATATGATAACTAAGTGTATAGTTCAAGTATATGCTATAATTTGGTTTGCTATAAAGGTCATTACCAAGCAAATATTTCTTTTTAAAATAATTGAGCTGACAAAACTACGAGATAAAATGATACAAATTATATAAAAAATTAATTAGATAAAAATTCATGTTGCTTATTACAGACAAACTCGACTAATTTTAGTAGGAGTTTTCACATTAATTTGACAAGTATGTCAAATTAATGTGAAACTTCCTACTACAATTAGTTTTTTACCTGTTGACCTAATCAACGCAAAAGAGTTTAGAGTGGTTTTGCCACTTTTAAATCTTACAAATAACTTTTTAATCATTTGAATATGCTGTAATGTCATTAAACAAAGCATCTAAGCTAGTTTATGATCTCAAAAAAAAAGGACAACTTTATTCTTATGAAAGATCAAAGTAGATTTAAAAACTACAGAGAAGTTAACGAAACCAACCATTTTATCCCAAGCGAACGTTAAGTTTTATGATAATCAATAATAGTTAGATATTCTTAAACTTATGTTTGTTTTTATATGATTAATGTGGTAAACTCCGTAAAGTTCCTTTTTTTATATACTAAGAATTAATCTGAAGTTTAGCCTGTTTAACGCCTCTATCAGACTCATATTTTACAGGTGATTCAGTGAAAAATTATGATTTTATATTTATATTAATTTTAGCCAATTTTCGCAACAAGCTATATTCAAGTTAAATATACGTGTTTGCAATTTTATCAGTTTTTAAATGTTAAAGTCCAAATCAGTTTTGTTTTTTTAAATTATTTTTTAAGAAAATGTACCATACCAATTTATGTTTTCAAAAAAAAATTTTTAGGTGGAACTTCCCTAGTATGTATACATGTATGTATGTATGTATGTATGTATGTATGTATGTATGTATGTATGTATGTATGTATGTATGTATGTATGTATGTAAGTGCGTATGCATATATTATTTCTTAATTTTTCTTTATCTCATCTTTAGAGCAATTGGCTCAGTAATTTTTGGTCAAGCATACTCCTGGTCAATGAAGAATTTAAAAAATCGATTAGATTTGCACAAAGCTGTTTCGTTTCCATTTAACGAGTACTTGGCTTTTGCACTGATGTCTGTTTCTACGTTAGTTGTCTTAACAGTTGGTACTTGCCTTCCTAATAGCATTAATAAGAAATACATTTCGCCAAAATTAAATCAAGAATGTGAAATGGAAAAAACACAAAAAGTTTAATTTTTTGGTTATTGTGAAATTTAAATGAACAAAAAGTAATTGTTTATTTTGTTTCTTTTTTTGTTTCAAAACCTATAATAGGTCATTTAAGCAACACAGTTTTTAATAATCCTTTTAAACTTGATTATAAAATGCCTAAAAGGCCGGGTTAAAATCGTTTTTTTTTTTAAAGTTTATTGCAATTGGTTCCGTATAAATCTATTTTATTAGCAAACTAATTTTAACTTTTTTCGAAATCAAAATATAATTTTGGAAATTTTAAACAAGCATTGTTCAAATAGCTATGAAAATGAGTTCTAACTCGGGTGTTTCCATAACCATGTCTGAATCTATTGATCATAAAATATATGCTATGGACCAAAAAATCACTATGCTCAAATTCTTTAACATAGTGCGTAGATTGTGTGGGAAAATAAAGTATAACAACGCCATTTTTTTTGCGTATTAAACCTCCTTGATTGATACAAATGCTCCTGGGTAAAAATTTCTCAAAAAACAAGGGGTTGCACCCTGTATCACCAAATTCGCTGAAATTTGGCACAAATGTTTAAAGATATAAGTTAGGAAAGACTGTAAAATTTTTTCAAAAAATTATCAACCCTTTAAGATTTAGAGCAACTTAAAGTTAGTTATTTTTTGACTGAAAAAAAAGGGAGGATAAAGCCGGAAATATGTAATTTACTATTACCCTTTTAACAAACTTGTAGTAATGTTGCAAAGCTAAAGCTTTGTACCAAAGGAGTTTAAAACCTGCTGAATCTGAAAGTCATAAATATATCTCTCAAAACAATAAAATATAGTTTATTTTTATATCCACAAAACGCATTGTTAATGACAATAAAAAAGGCCATTGACAACTAGAAAAAATCTGACTGATGAAAAAAAGTTTTGGTTTTCGTTATTTTAAATATTAAATATCTACTTTGCAAACCAATTTTTTTTTTGGCCTTATGTTTTATCAAGGAGTTATTGATGTTTTAGTTTTTCAATTTTTCTAAAGATATTTTGCAAAAAAAAAAAAAAATTTTGCGAATATATTTTGTATACAAATACAATTATTTTTGTTTTGTAATAGCTTTGTAAAAAAATTTACAAAGTTATTACAAAACATAGATGAACATAAATTTGTTTCTTTTTACTTTCATTACATAATAATAATGTAATTTTCATTACATAATATCATGTCATTAAATTTAACAATATTATGTAACTTTTGTTGTTGATTGTTTTGTTGTAATAAAACATTTATTATCATCAATAAAAAAAAGTAATAAAATGATATAATAATGTCTAATTAACATTACTATGTTAAGTTACATAACTAAATATAATTATATTTAGTTATCTTTTACTTTTACACAACTTTTTGTAAGTAGTTAATGGAGAATTTACAATAATTAGTAGATAGTTAGGCATTTAAAATATGTCTATTAAACTAATAGCTGCTTGTTCAAGCAATATGTTCTTTATAAATACATATTGATATGATATTGTTTGTGTTCAACTTTTCTTGTTAGGAACATTAAGATTATTTAAGATTTCTTGTATTAAGTGTTTAGGCAGACATTCCTCATTAAATTTTTATATGGATAACAAAATTAATTGCTGCTTTGTAAATAATTATGGAGCTTAATATAAACAATCATATACTTAAGAAAGAAATCTGATTGAAAATATTGACAGCAATGATCGTAAGCTACTTGAAAAACGAACAAATCTGAAACAAGAACAAATTACTAATATATGCACACACCCAGTGCCGGCGCGAGTAGGTGTTACGTGGGGGGTGCCATTACAACTTTTGCCGACTATTAAAAAAAAAAGTCCTCGTTTTCTAAAATTTGCCGACTGCCATTACGACATTTGCTGACTGTCTAACCTATGTCGAAAGGAGCCTTATTTGCCGTCTAACTAGTCTAAAAGGGTCCGATTTGCCAACTAAGGATTCAGTTTGCCGACTAAAAATCATTGATGGCGGGGGGGGGGTGTCACACACCCCCCTATCGCGCCGGCCTTGCACACACCGTCGTGATATGTTAGTTGTAAGATATGAGGGTAATCAGAAAAGCTGCCGTAATCCATTTCTGAGTCACCAAAAGGTGTGTGTAGGTAAAATTCATATATTTATATTTCATTAGGTAATATCATTATTACCTAATGTAATATAAATATATAAATTAGTCATATAAGTTTTTTTGGTAATAAGATTTGTTCAATGTTTCATAGTTATTAATATAACAAATTGTATAGTAATATAATTACATAATATATATAATTAATGTTATTTAAGTAATGTAATTACTTTCTTTTTAAGCATCTCTACGTGTGATTACAATGCATACTGTGTTAGAAGCAGAAACCATAGGTTTAAATCTTATACCTGGAAAAAAACTGTGTCCAACCTGTCGAAGTAAAGTTATGACATGTTTATCAAAAAGTATAAGTGAAAATAAAAATGATGAAGATTTTGATTTTGTTAATGAAAAATCCATTCAAAATAAAAAAGAAAGTGTAGATACACACTTTGCATCTGCCGGAGTATCTCCAATTAAGGTCAAAGGATTTCACAAGTCAGGTAAAATCAGAGAAGGTAAACGAAAATTGACAGCATTAACAACCTCCATTAAAAAAAAGGTAGCCATTTCCCTTAATATATCAGAAGAAAGTTTTGAAGAACAGTCAAGTTTTAATAATGAGTATATGGCCGTATTGTTAACTAAAAAAATTGCAGAGTCTACATCAACATCAAAAAAAGTACAACTTGCGACACTTGCTCAACAGACTGGTCAATAAAAAAGGTATCTGAAACATTGCATGTAACAAACTATGTAGCTCAAACTGCACGTAAGTTAACATTAGAAAAAGGTATTTTAACCATGCCTAATCCTAAATTAGGAAAAGCTCTTCCTGATGTAACAGTTCAACTGGTCAAGACCTTTTACGAAGACGATGAACATAGCAGTATAATGCCTGGTAAAAAGGACTATGTAAGCATAAAGAAAAATTTCCACATGCAAAAACGTTTGCTCTTATGTAATTTAAAAGAATTGTTTGTTACATTTAAAACTAAGAACCCAGAAATAAAAATAGGATTTTTAAGGTTTTGCACCTTGCCACCTAAACGGTGTATTACTGTTGGTGCCTCAGGAACACATTCTGTATGCGTCTGTGCTATTCATCAGAATTTGAAACTACTTTTACATCCTCTTGGTGTGACATACAAAGAATTGTTACCTTATATTGTCTGTGATATAACTAATAAAGACTGTATGATGAGGAAATGTGAAAAATGCCCAGCAACTATGAATGCATTGGTTGAAAAACTTTATGATATACTTGGAGGGTTTGAAGACGATGATGAAATTGATCAATGGACAACAACAGATAGGTCAAATTGACACATAATAAAGAGCCAGTGTTTGAATACATTGAACTAGTATGTAGAAAACTGGAAAAACTTGCACCACATTCGTATTTAGCAAAGAGTCAAGCATTATACCTGAGATCAAGAAAGGAAGATATAAATGAGGTAACAGCATTACTTCTGTGTGATTTTTCAGAAAACTATAAATTTGTAGTTCAGGATGAAGTGAAAAGCTTTTATTGGACAAATTTACAATGTACACTTCATCCAGTGATTATTTATTTCAAAAAAGAAGGCATTCTCAAGCCCAAATTCTATTGTATTATTTTGGATGATATGATCCATGATGTGAACATGGTTTATAAAATTATTGAGATTGTTTGCAATGATATAAAAACAAATTTGCCTCAAATAAAAAATACTGAATACTTTTCAGATGGGTGTGCAGGTCAATATAAGAATTGCAAAAATATGTTAAATCTTTCTTTCCATTGTGAAGATTTTGGTTTTACTGCTAAATGGAACTTTTTTGCAACTAGTCACGGTAAGCAACCTTGTGATGGGATAGGTGGTACAGTCAAACGTCTGGCAACACTAGCAAGTTTGCAAAGAGATATAGATAATCATATTTTATCTCCACAAATAATGTATAAATATTGCAATGAAAACATTGAAGGCATAAACTTCATATATATTTCATCAGAAGATTTAACTTTGGTGAGAACCGCTCTTAAAGAACGATTGGATACTGCTAATACAATACCTAGAACACGTAGTTACCATCAGTTTGCATCAAAAGGTAAATTATTATTTTATAATTATACTTTTAACCATATTTTAAAATACACGCATAACTTTTATTGATAAACTCAAATAGATATTAGATTTTTGCAGAATCATTATCAAAAATATTTGTATTTTGTTTTATTTCTTCTGCATTTGCTATCTATGCATTTAATAAAACATGTTTGATAAGTAAAACGGAATAATTGCATATATTACTATTTTGTTTAGGTAGGCACTAAGCTATGCAGTGTTGATGAAGAATTTGCTTTAATTCATGACTTTGGAAATATCCAGATAACAACTGTAAACCTAGTACCAGGTGATTATGCCTGTGTTTCCTATGAGAAAAAGTGGTGGATAGGAGTCATTGAAGATATTAATTTAGAAGAAAAAGATGTGCTTGTAAAATTTATGTGTCCTAATGGTCTGCACATTTGTTTAAATGGCCACCAAAGGAAAGCCAATGTCGGATTCCTGATGTCCACATTATTTGCAAAGTTGAGGTACCGAAAACAAAAACAGGACTTCGCTACTATTTAGCCAAAGAGGACTTAAAAAAAATTATTTTCCTAAGGAAGTAGAGATTTTTATATTTATGAGTCTTTTATGTCTTATCCATTCTTTTTTAAATATTATGTTTTATGAACCAACTTGTAAATAATGTGAATGTAAAGCATATATAAAATCGCTAAAGTTTAGTATTTAAAAAAAAAAATGTATATACGTTTAAATTTTGTTGTAAATATCATATGAAATGAAAAAGATAATAAAGTCACTAAATTTTTAGTTTCTAATTTGATTGATTGGTAAAAGGTGGGGTTACATTAAGTTTGTTTTGACATATAAAATACTATATTTTTCGGATTAAACAGGT